CTAGGAGCAAGAACGCTACTAGGAGCAAAGGGCATCGCTACTAGGAGCAAAAACGCTACTAGGAGCAAAGGGCTTCGCTACTAGGAGCAAAGGGCTTCGCTACTAGAAGCAAAGACGCTACTAGGAGCAAAGTGCATAGCCACTAGGAGCAAGAACGCTAACGGGAGCAAAGAGCATCGCTACTAGGAGCAAAGACGCTACTAGGAGCAAGAACGCTACTAGCAGCAAAGACACTACTAGGAGCAAAGGGCATCGCTACTAGGAGCAAGGACGCTACTAGGAGCAAAGGGCATCGCTACTAGAAGCAAAGATGCTGCTAGGAGCAAAGGGCATCGCTACTAGGAGCAAAGGGCATCGCTTCTAGGAGCAAGAACGCTACTAGGAGCAAAGGGCATCGCTACTAGGAGCAAAGACGCTACTAGGAGTAAAGGGCGTCGCTACTAGGAGCAAAGACGCTACTAGGAGCAAAGGGCATCGCTACTAGTTGCAAGAACGCTACTAGGAGCAAAGGGCATCGCTACTAGGAGCAAAGACGCTACTAGGAGTAAAGGGCGTCGCTACTAGGAGCAAAGACGCTACTAGGAGCAAAGGGCATCGCTACTAGTTGCAAGAACGCTACTAGGAGCAAAGGGCATCGCTACTAGGAGCAAAGACGCTACTAGGAGTAAAGGGCGTCGCTACTAGGAGCAAAGACGCTACTAGGAGCAAAGGGCATCGCTACTAGTTGCAAGAACGCTACTAGGAGCAAAGGGCATCGCTACTAGGAGCAAAGACGCTACTAGGAGTAAAGGGCGTCGCTACTAGGAGCAAAGACGCTACTAGGAGCAAAGGGCATCGCTACTAGTTGCAAGAACGCTACTAGGAGCAAAGGGCATCGCTACTAGGAGCAAAGACGCTACTAGGAGCAAAGGGCATCATCGCTACTAGGAGCAAAGGGCATCGCTACTAGGAGCAAGAACGCTACTAGGAGCAAAGGGCTTCGCTACTAGGAGCTTAAAAATGCTACCATAGGAGCAATGGCATCGCTACTAGGAGCAAAAACGCTACTAGGAGTAAAGGGCATCGCTACTAGGAGCAAAGACGCTACTAGGAGCAAAGGGCATCGCTACTAGGAGCAAAGACGCTAC